ATATGGGTCTTGACAGTAATTCTTGTTGATGCAAATGAAACGTATTTTGGCAAGTTCGTGCCCTTGAAAAATATTTTCACTTTTTCCGTAGGAGTTTTGGTGTCTTTTGGACCTCTAAAAAGTCTTTGGATTTTAATGATTGGAATATCTGATTTTAGGTACGCAGAGAGTTCTTCATTTGACACGTCTATTGGAATATCATAAATGATTCCTGCTTTTGATATGAGATGGTTAAATATTTTTGGTTTTTAAATTTTTTTCGCTCCTTTTTGGAGGAGCCGCCTCCCGTATCCAAATCCATGTTTGTTGCTACTTTTCTCTTTTGCGGATTGTTGGATTCCACCTTAGAGTATAAACTTTGTTTTTCCCTTATTTATTTAATATATTTTAAATAAAATTAAATCGAAATTTGTACAATAATTTTTAGAAGGTAGTTTCACTTCAAAATTTTTGACATAAACCGTGTCTGTGACAAACACGCAATGTGGCCACTGCTACGATATAGAACTTGGGGATTATCGCTTGTTATTTAAATGTTTCATAACTGATCACTTAATTTTTAATATATTAGTATACGTATTTTATACATACATTTTTACCACTGCTAATCACATGAATAAAAATTATAAAAAGGAAAACATAACAGCAATATTTCTTGTTTATAATGGATTAGATCCATCGCACACCACGGACTTTATCGGCCGCCAATTTAGATGTGCTCGCTAGTCTTTCCATTGCACCACAACTTATTGGTCAGAGCGATTAAGCTGGTGTAATGTGCGCACCTCCATACATCTTCATGTACATATTTCAACATGAACCAAAAAGACAAGATCACGCGGGCAGGAGAGTAGCCCGTTAGAATCGCATATAGGAAAAAAGTTGAACGATTTTGACATTAGCCGTTTGTTTACATTTCTTCGTTGTTTACAATTTGGTGGTGGCTCAACGGCATGATTTATAGAAGAATTCGCATAATAAAAATGATTTTTCATGCGTTCAACAATTTCGCGGTTTTCTCCGTTCTCTTCGTTGTTTACTTCTTATAACAAAGATGGCGTTGAGATTTCGGCAGCTAGAAAGTAACTTTTTTCGTTCTTTCCTTCCCGCGTGATCTTGTGTCTTTCGTTCATGATATTTTAAGCAAGCCCTATCATATAAATAGGCGGCCGATAAAGTCTGTGGTGTGCGGTGGCTCTTATAGCTGTGTCCTTACATCTATTCCGTGTGTGTCAATATCCACGAAAGCAGCAGTTAATTTTTTATGAAGAAAATTATTACAAAATATTCGAAAATTTCTCTACTTATATGTTTGGCTTTTCTTTGTTTTATATTAGGTGCGTTCGTTTAAAATCTCCAGCAGAAACCAACCAACTGCCAAATTCCGGCGAAATGTCATCTGTTCTCTCACAAGAGAGAAATATCCAAAATAGTACGCGAACAGAAAATTTGCAGAAACTTGCAAGTTAGACGAACAGCTGATATAATTTTTGTTTACATACAAAAGTGTAAAATTTAAAACGTACAAAAAGTCATCACAAAGTGTTATACTGACACAGTTTATTGATTAAACAAATAACTACTTATTTCTTACAAGTTTAATTAGTCGCATTTTGTAATTTTTAACTTCCAAACCATCAAATTCAATTTTGGCATTTGCGTAAATGCGAACTAGCTGTTTTTGATCAGCTGTTGGCAAATTGCTGTTGGCAAAAATTTTTCCAGCAGAAACCAGCAGCTTCCCCTCAAAATGAAATGTCAGTTTGCTCTCTCAATTTCCCCTACTTTGCAAGTTTTTTGCGTACGCGAACGCAAAAACTTGTAAGTTTTGGTTAAACATGAACAATTAACAGCTACGCGAACGCACCTTTTTCCAACGTCAAATGCTGGATTTTTTTTTTTTTGAAAAAGTTGGTACAACAAAAAATACGAAACACGTTTTCTGTCAGATAGCTAACATGGCGGATAAGAAGAAGAAGTGAAACTACCTTCTAAAAATTATTGTATCATGGTAATTCTTAAAACTAAGATTTATAATAAACATAAGAACAACAACCACCTGGTATTTTGCTCCCAGAGGAGGCCTTCCTCTGCTACCAGCATAATGATAGACGTTGTATAGTTTCAGAAGTGGAGCGTTAGTGCTAGTATTTAGGCTACCATAAGTGGCAGGATAAGCTTATGCTGGACATTTTTTGAGCGAAAGAAGTCAAGCTGCAAGTTCCACTTTTTGCTAGAAAGCAATTTATTTTTATTATATAATCATCACCATTCGTTGTGAAAACAAAGCGCCCTGTTTCACCACCGCTACAACAACAACAACCACCGCTTTTCAGAAATTATTATTTTTTTTATCCAAAAACGGCAAATGCAAGATTGTAATTGCTACGACCACAAGTCTCAAACATGGTAACATTCTTTCAAACACCACTTTGAAGAGAAATTTCGGACTTTAAAGTTCCTTTCTTTTTATTCGACATATGAGACAAATTTAATTAAATGAAATTAGCTCTGAGTGAAAAACTCATCATGGCCTCAAGAAAACATTCCAGCCTTCAAAAAACGTTTTCCATTCTTATGCTTTTCCTATCGTTGTGATGAAGTTCACATCATAGTGAAATTATTACACGATTTTTGTGTGAAACAAGGCCATATACATACATACACAGTAAACGTTAAAAGTAAGTTTTGTTCATGCATTATATGAAAGAAAATGCGCAACACCCTCCCCAAAGGAATTAAAAAAAACTTGAACTAAAATTGAATGGGCTATAAAACTTCATACTCGAAATCTTTATAGGAAATTTAATAAAAAAAATAAGTTCTGATGATTTTTTTTTTTAGTTTAATTAGTTTTTGTGAATTTAGCTTCGAAACTTTTATTTATATTGACTGCTAAGTGGAAGATCGACCTATCTCGGCAGCCAGTTCGAAAACGCCCTATCTCAAAAAACTTTTCAAAAACGCCCTATTTCAGAATTTGGTTGAAGAACGCCCTATTTCAGAATTCGTTTCAAAAACGCCCTCTATCATCAAATTTTCAATATATTTTAAAGTGTGATAGGCCATTTTTGAATCGAATTCTGAAATAGGGCGTTCTTCAACAAAATTCTGAAATAGGGCGTAGTGAAAAGTTTTATGAGATAGGGCGTTTTCGAACTGGCTGCCGAGATAGGTCGATCTTCCACTCAGCAGTCGATATGGTATCTGATATAGATCGACCACATCGTCGCCCCGTGACTAACAAAATTTTTTATTGCATAAAACGATTGGGGCCTTATAATTCGATGAAATGCTTCATAATCAATCAAAAAGTGAATTTTGGAGTTTTAGTTAGTTACGGCTTTTTGTATTTCAGCGACGTTGTGAGGGCCCTTCTATATTAACGTAACGATATATGTATACATGTATACACGGCGAATGTAGACAAAATAATACACAAGAATACTGCGTGGCTATACATTATGGGAGTATGAATGAAAAAAAATTAGCCCACATCACAGCAGAGAAATTGTCGATAACGATAAACTGGTTTTACAGAAAGGTTAAACTCTTCTTAATGAATTAATTTGAATATGTGAAGATATAAATTAAGAAGCGTGGTTTATTGACCTGGTAGCTGCAAATGAAGCCTTAGAAATTTGTATTTTAAATTGTGTGCTATAAATAATGGAAAATTTTGTAGATCAGAACAGAATAAAATTTGTAACCATACGGAAAACTTCAATTTTCATTTAAATAATTCGGAATTAATAACTTACATAATCTGCCTTATCCTGAGTTTCGCCTGAAAGAAAATTCGCCCGAAAATTTGTCATCCGCCCATAGTAAAACCATGGAAACCAAAAGTGCACCGGTTCGGGCAAAATTTAACTCATGATAAGGCTGATTATAGTGAAATTAAAATTATTTTATTATCGGTTTACCGGTTACCGAATTATCGTGGTGGAAGCTTGATAATTTTTCTGGTAGTTGGTAAACTGCAATCAGCTGTTCGATGTTTATCCAATTTCAAATCCGCCCGCTGTCGTAAGGCATAAGTCATATGAGTAAGTAACATTCCATAAATTTTCTATTAAGATTTATTTATTTTATAGAAAAAAGCTACGAATCAGCTGTTGATAAACATAGTTTGCCAGACTAACAAAAGAAAGCTGAAAAGGACGTCCACAGTTGATAATATTACCGAGTACCAACAAGCCGTTTACTAAGTGCCAACTAGCAGGTGTGAAGACCCTTATTGTCTATTTCTCTTTTACCCCACGTCTCTTTTTTCTACCAAATATGTCTTAGCATCTGTCAAATATCTGTTTTGACATTGGGCGCGTCCATAAGTCGTAGTTGTTGGGTAACCGTTGGCTGTTTGTCTTAGAAACGCACAGTTGAGTAGTTACGCTCACCCCAACAGTTGGTAACTTTCCGCCATTTTTTCCAGCGGAAAATTTTTACGCTACCTGAACTCAACGTGTTGGGCTTAGCCTAAACAGCTGATGGAAAAGACTTACGCCGCTTATATTAAATATAACGCCGCTTTGTTAGGTGGCAGTTGTAAACAAATTTATTTTATTTTATATTACTGATAATATATTACTATTTGTTGCAATTTCATTTGTTTACATTTATCAGCTGTTCATTTGGCAGCATATTCATCAAGCCGTTTCTAAGACGTAATTGTTGGGTTCAACAGTTGCCAGCAGTTTCGTAGCAGATGAGCTAAACAGCTACGTCTTATGAACGCAACCATTGTCCTGTTTTCTCATGTGGGCAACTTGCTGTCTTAACATATCACTTTCAGAATGGCATCAAGCCAATCAGATCGGTCTGTACCCAATGTAGATGGCGCGGTAAAATAAATTGCAAAATTCACATGTCTTAAAATTCGGGTTGATTTTTGGTAATTTTTTTCAATATACATACTAAAATTGAATGGGCTACTAAACTATTTTTTTTTTTTAATTCTTAATAAAATGTTTGCAATTTTGATGAAACTTTGCAGAATTCTTCTAAATTTCATACAGTTTTAAACTTGGATTTATAATATTAATTATAATCAATCAATTTTGTGAACGAAATGAAATGAAATGAACAACTTGACGAAGGTTGACCAACTAGCCACTACACGGCTTATTTACAACCAATTTCTAGCAATTGACCAACTGGTTCGCCGATAAATCAATGCGTGCATAGGACCCTTAAGTTGGTCAACTCGCTTTTCAATTTTGGGCAAAAATAATCGATTAATAATACCACTTCCAGAGGTCGCCTTCGGCGTTGTAAAATAGAAGATGCCCTGTGATTGGCCTAGGTGCATAAACCGAAATCGGCGGTAAAAATGACGATACGGCCATCGTCAGCCATTATTATTACTGAGTCCAGCGAGGTGAGCGGTTTTAGCAACGAAAACATGTTTTCGATGTCAGTCAGAACATGGTATAATGCGCAATGATTCAATAATGCTTGAATCGTGCTAATGCGCCAAATTATTTGTACTTTTTCTTTGTGATGTTCTTTTAAGTTTTTCTTTTGTCTAGATTTTGATCTTAAAACATATGGTATATCGAAGAGAGCGACCAGAAGAAGCGTAAAAGATCGAATTCTCCAGCAGTCGTGAATTCTGGCGGACCAAATTATCAAATGGCATCCATTTACATCCAGGTGAGTAAATATATTGTATTAGTGAAAAAAAAACACCTGGTGACCAAACAGTTTAAGTTTAAAAAATTTGCCTAATAAAATATTTCAAAAATTTGTCAACGGAATCTTAATAATGAGATTTTTGATGCTGTTTTCAAATATTAGTTTAAGAAAAACTTGGAATAACTCAGCCAAAACTTTACTTATTCAGAATTACAAGGTATCATTCATTGGAAAGGTATTTTGTCACCCTTTTTATTTCTTTGTAAATAAACTAATTTAAAGTAAGAAAGAGAAAGGTAAGATGAACGAACGCCATTTCAAGTTGATTTAAGATGTGTTGCTATTTGAAAAAAAAGTTGGACGTGAATGAGTTTCTTTTCAAGTAATAAAAAGGGTGAGAAATGCCTTTCCACTGATACCTCCCTCATAAGTCTAAATCGGCATAGTTTTGGCCCAGTTATTCAAGTTTTTCTTAAATCAATCTTTGGCTGCATTTCTTTATTCATTCTGAACGTTTGGAATAAACTTTTTTGTTTACTTATTCTTTAGAACGTTCCTGATGATATGTAAACGTATATTTCAATGGCATTCTGGTTATTCTGGTTGTGAAATGGGTTTATCCGGAATGTATAAAGAAACGCAGCCTTTGAAAAAAGTTAAAAAAAACAGCATCAAAAATGTCATTATTATGATTCCGTTCAATTTCTTTCTTCATACATGTTTTGTCTTCTGAGGGGATTTATTTCAAAAAATCCTTTAAGAAACTATTTTTATTCATAAAATACTGCATTTTTGGAGGTATTTTCAAATCGGTCGAGCTCACGTAAATCTTAATATTTTTCCGAAATATTTGGGTGCAAGTCTTCAAATATATATAATTGATTTTATAATTCCAATGGAAAAACAGTACCGACTTTTTTTTGTATGGGGAGTGATGCAACATATTTACATACATACATAAGTATATACATTTTAATTTACTTATAACCGAAATGACACTTCCCTGATCTTGATGTTTAGTGGGGAATTGCAAAGTATCGTCGAAATTGGTTCACTTATCGGTACGTTAGTTAGTATTTCATTTTATATACTAAAACAAGCACTTCACGTTTGTATACGTGAATATTTAGTTTATTACAAATATATTTTATATAGGTGTTAAAAAGATCTAGATACATATCGATGGTCCTATGCAATAACGACACAATTCAAAATTCGAAAAATAAAAACTGTTACTACTGTTAAGTGGCTCATGCCTTTAATCCTTGTCGAATCCATGTCTATCCTTTTGTACTTACTTTTGCATTCCTTACTGCTTACCTTAGTAAGAGATGTAAATGGATTAGACAATGATTAGAGACAAGTAGCCACTTAACAGTAGTAACAGTTTTTGTTTTTTGAATTTTGAATTGCGTCGTTATTGCACAGGACCATCGATATAAAAAAAAATACATTTTATCTATGCCATCTTAGAATTTATAATCGTATGTACATCCAAGTTATTACATCAAATTTGTAAAGCGCAACCCCTTGACCAAGCTCCCAGAGTGCATTGGTTCGTCCCTGAAACTTATTCCATCCACGAAATCCGATTGCAAACTACACGGATATTCGGAACCGTATGCATCCGTACGCCACATAAGCTTAATTTTATACTCAATATCGGGGGTAAGCAACAGCCCCTCATCCCACTCGATATTCATATCACAATTGTATCTAGTCAGCTGCTTTATAACATTATGCTGCCAAAGTAAGGTCTCAGCGCTGATCGCCGCATTGCCCTCTTGATCACTCACTTCATCACTTCTTTCATTAGCGGATGCTAAAATTTCAATATGCAAATTTTCACTGTACTCGCTGGGTAGCTTGAACGCGTAATGTGTCAGTGGTGATAGGCGACTGTAAATGATGAGACCATGCAATGCAATAAAACGATTGCATTTGACAAACACGGTCCATTCATGTGTATCCTGGTCGACAGTGAAGGGCCGGCATGCCTTAAAATAGCTACGTTCGATAGAATTACAGGTATGTCGCTGTGGCGTTTTTAGCTTCAATACTTCGCATTCCTCATCACTGTAGGCAGGCAATTGCAGATCATTGATGATTACTGCACAATCTTCTTGCTGCAATCCTAATTCATGGCATTCCTGCTGGCACCACTCGTAAACGAACCACAACACTTGCTTTCTAGTCTTCGCGCAATTATTAGCTGCAATTATTGCCTTGACGCATTCCTTGGATACATGCACATAGTGACTCTTATGCGATGTCATAAATTGTGGATTGTTGAGACAGCAGCGGTTAAAGAAAGACATGCATACCTCCAGCAGATCACGCAGATCCATGCAGACGCAAAGCTCCAGCGCAGGTAGAATATTTGTGTAACGTAATTTGCGCGCTATCGCCAGTAAGCAAGTGTTCGTCAGGTCAGTGATTAAATATTTCTCAGCGCAATAGTATAGCTCGATAGCCTCTTCTAGCGAAAGGGACACCGGCATGACACCGGCGTAAATAAAATTTAGAAGCATTTGAAAAGTTTCGGCGCCAATGTCCAAAATATCAATTTCTTTTTGTTGCTCGCGTATTGGACCATAGAACATGGCCTCGAAAACTGGACTGGCTGTGGATAATATTAATTTGTGACATTTTAGTTGTGCTCCGCCAATGTGAAATACGCAGTCGTAGTATTTCTCAGAGCGTAGTAATTGTTCGAATCGGCGACTAAATTGTGCATTCATTGTAGCGTTATCTAAGAGCTGAAAGGCCAGTTGCGCGGCTTTGGTCTGAGGCGAATGCACTGGTTGCGATAAGCTCGATGGGAATATTGAATTCATCTGGAAAGAGAAAATATCATTTATTAAATTAATGCTGCAAACAATTGATAAGTGCTTGCATGAAACTTTGTATTATTGAATTACTGTTAAAAGTAATAAAATGTATGATAATTATATGTTTGAGGGCTGCAAATATGCCTAAATCTCAAGAATTTTTCTTACAGTTTTTTTCTAAATGAACATTTTAATTCAGAAGTGGAATATAGACTCGTAGGGCCGTTAACTTACATATATTTTTTGAAGTATAGTTACAAAAAATCCGAAAACCGATCCGAAAACGGAAAAAAGTCGACGAAAACCGGATTTTTGCCCGTTTACCGATTCCGTTTCCGGATACTTTAATGGTCCGTTTTCCCAATAAAGTGTGCGACAGAAAAGTATGTACAGAAAAGTACCGAAAATGGTGGTGAAAAGGATACGTTTTCGGCTGTTTTTTCTGAAACTTTTCTGATTGAATTTTTGGTTCAATACGCTTTCCTTCTGCACTTCAAAGATACTTTTTCATGGTTCAAAAGAAATAAAATCAAATTAGAAAGCGCTTGACGGATTTGGAACCCGGCACCTTCTGGAAGCTAACAAATAGCGGCACACTCCTCTGCACACTTAGCCACTGCCGACAACGCATGCATGCTTTCAAATGTTTAGCTTGAGCAAATAAAATACAATTATTGCTTTCAAATGACATCATCTTTTTCGAATGTTTTCCGTATACGAAAATTGATGATAACTGTAGGAGTTTTGTTGTATGCGTTTTCGGATACAGAAATTTGAATTAAACTGCACTGTCGGCAAAATTTACGTTTCTTTGCTGGTTGGGTGAGCATGTGCATACATACATACACATGTATGTATAACTAGTACAACGCCTGCAGATTTATTTTGAAAATCAGTTCGTCCATCCGAGCAACTAATTCGTTTAATTATAGACGGGTTTCGCAAACGTGTCCCATCGAAGAAATAATTGCCTTCAGTAAGTGGCATAATGTAAACAGGGAGCTGTCCCTACAACACCTGTTGCTGCTCTTGATGCACTGCTGCACTTGCCGTCACTTTGTATCTTAATACGTAGGGAAGCCTTAAAGGCCACCTGCAGACTAAAAAGAAATAGATGTTGATATAACACCGAGTGGGGCGAGGTAGAAGTTGCTGACGTCAGAGATCGGAGCACTTGCGTCTTTTCAATGCCACAGGGTAGAACGCCACCATTACATATGTTGAAGAGGTTCTATAAGGTTGAGTTTCCTGAGGCTGAATGCTGGTTTAATTTCAACACTGAGTTCGGACTCACATATTATCGAATCTTTATTGATACTCCAAAACTGACTCCAGGTCAGGATCTGGCGTATTTATCGAAGATAATGAGCATAAGCTTCACATTTCCTCATTCAAATATATGGACTACGTGGTGAAAAATAGATGGAGGAGAATAAGTTTACGTGTCTGTAGTGACAGCCAAGCTTGAGGCATTTACCAGCCAACTACTTCCAAACTAGTTCGGCAGTGCAAGTCTCGACTAAATTATGTTGGTAAACATATCGAGCTTGTTTTACTTTGTGTGCCAGGTTATTCGGGGGGTTGGCTCAAACCAATCATTCCTCGTCCATAACCAGTTATAGCACATCCTCCTTCGGCCATCGAAGTCAACATCAGCAACTGGGTGCATCCTTCGCTCAGAAATAACTGAGAGGCCTTGAGGGGCTGCCGGTGGGCAAAACTCATGTTGCGTTTAATCTCAGAACATCTATCTAGTTATTTCCCTGCAGGAAATTGAATTAGTTTGAAAGTAATTTATAAACTACTTTATTTTAAATGATAACTAATTGAAATTCTCACTATTTTACCTGCAACGAACTCATTTATTTAAAATGGCGATGTCCCAGGAAAAAGTCAATTGCTTTTTCCTGCATGTATTTTCAACTACTTTAAAATGAATTTGGCTTGAACAACTTCAAGCTCAGTATGTTTCGTTTGAATACTCAGGGGAGTACGGCGGACCTTCTTTTCTGGTACACTCTAATGTACATATCGCACACCGTCTTCAAAAGAGTCACAACTCAAAATAAACTATAAAACTATTTCGCAGCACATGCTAATCATATAGGCAAGGGCGACTTTACCTTAGGTTTTTTTTTTAACAAATTATAACAAAAATTTGCTCCAGCTTTTGCTGAGATGTAAATAAAGGCTCTGTGTACATTTTTAGCGCATAATTTCAAAAATGCCAAATTTAGAGTTGTAACTCTTTTGAAGATGGTGTGCGATATGTATATACATACATACGTATGCATGTGGGTATGCATGTTCGTTCAATAAAATCAACGTTTGTTTACATTAGAACAAAATGTGCAAACAGCTTTTCAAAAAATTACTGAAGCGCGTTTAAGCTGTGTCACTATGTACATATCTATTTACGCGCGCTTATGTCGCCTTTTGTTTATTTATCTACAATCAATTAGAGGAATATAAAACATGAAAATCAAGGTAGATCTGATTTGTCATCGTCGTTTGCCGGCATGGGTTTTGGGCGAGTGGCTTATTCATTGATTGATCTAAAGGGGGAATTCGCGAGAGTAGAATAACACAGAACTGGTTTGTAAAAAAGAATAAAACGTATTAAACAAATAATAATAGTAATAAGCACAAAAATGTGAGATGCAAAATGCGTAGAAAAATCTGAACATAAAAATATCAAATTCGAAAAAGAATAAAATAAAAGCAGTAAATATAAAAGTGGTTATTAAAATTAATCATTCCTTCTATTTGTGTCTCTAAAACCGTAAAAAATTCTTAAAATTCAACTAGCACTATAACTTTCTACTTCAAAATCACTACAAGAAGTACATACACACATTGTACATACTACGTACTAAGTACAGTAATGGCAGAAAAAGAATATAACTATCAGCATTAAAGCCTTATTAGCCGCTTCAATATATCGATAGAATTTCAAAAATAACAGCAGCACACACATTCACATGCATGCTTATGTGCACTACTATACTCGTATGTAGGTTTGGTGATACTTATATACATATGTACATATGTATGTATGTATGTAAAAAAAAAAAATTAATAAAAAAAACCAACAAATCCATCCACTTCATCCAGCACCCAGTTTTAGTTGGATTTTGCAAATAATTCTATAATATCGCCAAAACCACTTGTATTGGTTTTTTATGCATTTTTTTTATTACACTTGAGAATTTGTTACGTAAATGTCAACGCTTTTATTCACTTTAGTGTACATAGAATATACATATGTACATATGTAGGTAACTATATATAAAATATCGTGGAAAATTGCTCTTGACCGATATCTCATTTTTGTATCACGTACATACATACATACATACATATGAACATATGTACATACATATCTAAAGATCAGCAGCTGATCTTGTGTTTATATTCTTAATATTCTATTAGCTTTTGTTTACACGCATTTACGAGTATTTACCTTAACAAATTCACCTTAATTTTATTTACCTTTTGAGTTATCGTCACAGTACTTGTATGTACCAAATATGTATTTAATTTAGTTAATTGCTTTTCTCGTTTATGTTCTCTACTCTTATTTTTTTTCGAAATATTCCAAAAGTTGTGAGATTAAAATCTTCAAGTCGATTTTCACAAACCTTACACCTCAACGACTCATCTACGATTAAATGATTTGTAAAATTCTGAGACTTTTACTGTGCTCACGCTTTCGAATGTCGATTATGTGAGCAAAGCATTTCATCGGTCTGCGCCGGTTGCGAGCGTAACAAATGCCACCACTCACCTTACTTGAATATGCAGTAGGAATAGAGAGACTGACGATAGTTCGCATGACTGCTACATTTCATTGCGGTCAGCTCCTTTTTCTTTCAAACTTAAAGTCCTATTTGATCGAAATGCTACCATCCGAGGTTATTTTCATCTAACGCCATTGTATTGGCAAGGGCACCATCAAAAATAATCGGCGCGCACCAGTATCTACCCAGTAGGAAAAGTAGTAATGAATTACATGCGTGATAAATAATGTAAAGCTTTTAGATTCTATTTGATTAATATCTAATCAGCATTCCAATGTATCCAGGGCCTTTGATGGCCATTGTTATTGCTCGATACATCGATGTCTTTTTACATCTCTAGATTTTCACGCGATTGCTACTATACGTTTTGCGGATTAAGAGTGCAAGAAAATTCGTGGAGTGGAAACCATATATAAAAAACTTTGGGAGTGTCAGAAGAATAACCCGAGTGGTCTAATTTTAATATTAACACAAAT